CCTTATAGATGTGCAAAGATATTGCTTTTTCCTGGATAAAACTTGGAGGCACACCTCACTCTTCTTCTCAAAAGATGCTTATGCATTTTCTTAATCTTCTCCTAGGACTGCAGACAGACAACTGCCAGATAGCCAGGGTGGGACCAGTGGGTGTTTAAGTTAGCACTGTGGGTGTGCTATCACCTGCCTGATCAAAATGCCTAGGGAGATATTGAGATGAAGGATGAAATGAAGGAAGCATTCAAAAGAGGGAATGTGGCAGTTACGAGTGACTTCAGCTATCCTCACAAAGATTGGCTCCTTAAGTGCTCCGGTAACAACAAAGAGATAAAATCTCTAGCTACCCAAATGACTGTGCCTTAGAAATTTCCTGATTAAGCTTAGCAGTCATGGAATAAGAGGAGGGGTACTCTCCTGAATCAGGCATTGGTTAAACAGCAAGAAGCAGAAATTAGGAATAAGCAGCAAATGCAATTAATGTAAGAAAGTGTAAAGTGCCTGCCTGACCAAAAAAGTATTAATTTCACATATACACTCATTGGGACTGAACTGATAGCGACAGACCTTGGGGTCATAGTGGATAGCTCGATAAAGACATCAACCCAATCTGCAGCAGCTGTGAAAAAGGCAAAGGACATGCTAGGGATCATTAGGTAAGGCACTGAAAATAAAGCTGCTAATATCATAATACTGTTATACGAATCTATGATGTGACTGTATTTGGAATACTGTGCACACTTCTGGTCACCTCACATGAAAAAGGATATTGTAAAGTAGGAAAAAGTTCAGAAAACAGCAATGCAAATGGTTAAGGGGATGTGTGAATGGATTTCCTCTATGAAGAAAGGTTGCAACGTCTGGGACTTTTAGTTTACAGGAAAAGTGAATAAGAGGCAGAATTGCAAAAGTTTATAAAAACTATGTATGGCATGGAGAAAGTGGGTTTAGTAAAAGTTTTCTCCTCTCATAAGACTAGAGCTCATGGGCATCCTGAGAAGCTGAATGTTGGAAGATTCAGCACAGACAAAAGAAAGCGTTTCAACATAATGAAACTATGGAACTCACTGCCACAGGAAGCAGTTATGCCCACCAACTTGGATAGAGTTAAAAAGAGGGAAAGAGGCATCATGGTTAGAGTGTTTGATTCAAATCCCCACATAGCCATGAAACTTATGGGGTGCTCTTGGGAGCAGACTCTCTCTCTTGCCTAACCTACCTCAGAAGCTTGGTATGAGAACAAAGTATGTGTGAGATGGAGGAGCCATCTCTGCCATCTTGAGCTCCTTGAAGGAGGAGTGGGCTATAGACGCCATAATGATAGAGATATTTATTGCCTCACTTGGAATAATGTTTACATTTTGGGTTGCCACATCTCAGAAAGGATATTGCAGAGTTGGAGAAAGCGGGGAAAAACGACAATAACAAGGATCAAAGGATCTGAAGCAGTGCTTTTTTTCTAGAAAAAGAGGTGCCAGAGCTCACCACGGACTTCTCCCTCATTCTCTTCAAATGGCAATGGCACCCACATGAGAGGTGCCAGAGCTGAGCTCTGGTGAGCTCCAGCTGGGGGGGGGGGAGAGCCCTGATCTGAAATAACACTTAGGGTGGCCACATGCAAAAGAGGCAGAGCTCCTGTGCTTTTAATACTTGAGCAAAACAGAGAATTTTGATAGATGCTGCTTGAATAATGAGTAATGGGAGGACATTATAGAGGTGTCTGGGACATATGGTTAACCAATGAAGCTGAATGAAAGACAAGCCAGAGGAGATATTTCTTCACACAGTGTCTAGTTAAATTATGGAATTTGCTCCACCAGCTAAAATGGCTTTGAAGGATGTTTCAACAAATGCATGGAGAATAACGCTACCAGTGTCTGCTATGATATTACATCCAGGATCAGAAATGAGGCAGCATATCTCTAAATTCCAGTTGCAGGGAACAATAGCAGGACAGGCTGTTGCCCTCATCTCCTGCTTGCTTGCAAGTTTCTGGCTGGTTACTATGGGAAACAAGATGCTGGACTAGATAGAAATTGGGGTCTGATCCACCAGGGCTCTTACACTTTCAACTGAAATCCAGCCAGAATGCATTGTTGATAGGCACAACTGAGACATAGTGCACAAAGCCACACTTAAAGGAGAACAGCAGCAAAACCTTCAGGGCCACCAACCAGACTCTTTACAAAGTAACTTGCAAAAGAAGCATAAGGCCACATCTGAAATACGGGCAAGAAGGAGAGGTCGTCAAAAGCTTTCTCAATGATACCTGGGGAAAGTTTGAAATTTCTAGGCCAAGCAGTTTCTCCATGAAAACATGACATATGCAAAGGAGAAGAAGCCTCAGACGTCTTTTCAAAGTGTACATTTAGTGTTGTTGTTTCATAACCACCCTCACTCAGCAGCAGGGATCTCCTGTCTCTGACAGTGGCTTTGCTCTTGAAGCACAAACTGTATGTGTGAGAGAAAGCGTGCAATGTGGTTTTTAAGAGAGAGCAATAAGCTAAAGAACACCACTTCAAAACCTATCTCTGTCCTGAACATACTGGCTAGTTTCATGAAGAAGAAGAAGAAGAAGAAGAAGAAGAAGAAGAAGAAGAAGAAGAAGAAGAAGAAGAAGAAGAAGAAGAAGAAGTAGTAGTTTGGATTTGATATCCCGCTTTATCACTACCCGAAGGAGTCTCAAAGCAGCTAACATTCTCCTTTCCCTTCCTCCCCCACAACAAACACCCTGTGAGGTGAGTGGGGCTGAGAGACTTCAGAGAAGTGTGACTAGCCCAAGGTCACCCAGCAGCTGCATGTGGAGGAGCGGAGACACAAACCTGGTTCACCAGATTACGAGTCTACCGCTCTTAACCACTACACCACACTACCTCTCATGAAATGAAAGCCATTTTCTTGCTGTCTCAACCACCACCACCACCACTATCCATTATAGGGATAATAATACTGAGCTGGGTGATACACTGTACAGAGCAATATAAATGTGACTATTAGCAGGTTTTTAATTTTTGTATTGGAGCTGGTTGGAAGCATCAAGTGATTCCATGCTGGAAGTTATGGGTATTAATTATGATGTGGGACCATGATCACTCCCTTGAGTATAACCAATGGAACTGAATTTTTGCATTGAGTTTTAGACATAAAATGAAGACAAGGAGATCAGTAGCATGACAAAATAGCAACAGAAGGGCGGATAAAATGAACAAATATGGCAAAAGCGCAAACCAAAACACTACATTGCTCTTAAACACTTCACAGGGGACCCAAACTGAAGTTATTAAGGCTGCAATCCTACACCAAAATACATAACCATACAGTGGTACCTTGTGTTACGTACTTAATCCGTTCCGGAGGTCCGTTCATAACCGGAAACTGCTCATAACATGAGGCGCGCTTTTGCTAATGGCGCCTCCCACTGCTGCCATGCCACCAGGGCGCGACTTCCGCTCACATCCCGGGGCAAAGTTCACAACAAGGGGCATCTACTTCTGGGTTAGCGGAGCACGTAACCCAAAGCATTTATAAGGGGGATGGTATATAACACGAGGTACCACTGTATTTGCATCCTTCAGCTCTTTAGACATATACTCGAGCCCCCAAATGCTAAAATTTGCTACAAAATAACTGAGATTCTATGCAATTCTATGCATGTCTACTCAGAAGCAAGTTAATAGGGGCAGACCATCAGAGAGTCATGCTGTCATTCCCCACCTACCATAATAGTCTAAAGCCCCCTTCATCCTATATTTGCAATACTATAGCTAATCACAAATCCCAGGACTCCCTTACTGAAACAGAAGGACAGCTGCAGACTTGTCAATGCAGGAATACAGCTCCATTACCTTTTTACTGTTCCCTTTGTAGTCCCAGCTATTCAACCTAGTCCTGTTTTCACCTAGTTCCAAACCTAGTTCCAAAAACTTTCATTGCTTTATAGGTAGATAGATGATAGATAGATAGATAGAGATAGATGATAGATAGATAGATAGATGATAGATAATAGATAGATAGATAGATAGATAGATAGATGATAGATAGATAGATAGATAGATAGATAGATAGATAGATAGATAGATAGATAGATAGATAGATAGATGATAGATAGATAGATGATAGATAGAGATAGATAGATAGATAGATAGATAGATAGATAGATGATAGATAGATAGATGATAGATAGATAGATAGATGATAGATAGATAGATAGATAGATAGATAGATAGATAGATAGATAGAATAGATACATGATAGATACATGATAGATACATGATAGATAGACAGATGATAGATAGAGGCGATCCTTGTTTTTGCTCTCAGCATATAATACTTTTGACTATGTTATTTACACTCCATCATCACCAGAGTCCTTTGCATGTTTAATCTAAAGCACTCTTGCCCATCCTAGTGCCTTCCCAAAGTTTTGGACTGCAACTCCCATCATTCCAGGCTATTGACTATGCTGGCTGGGACTGGTGGAAGTTGTAGTCCAAAACATCTGAAGGGTATCGGGTTGGGGTCTATAGGACTTCTGGTACTTCTATGCACCTGTGTGTGCACTCACTCACTCACTCACTCACACGTGCACACGCACACACACACACACACACACATCACCTCTCATCCAAATAATGCACTTAACTTGTAAATAAAGGGAATAAGGTGTCCCTCAACTGTGTTCCTTCAAACTCAGAGTCCTCCACACTTACAGAACTTCATCTCCTCCAACCAGCCCCACCACAAGCCCTTTACCAACTCTGGTCTTTATGATCTAGTTTGTTGTTGGTACCTCAAAGAGGCTGTAAGGCAGCATCCAGAGACCTAAGCTGCACTGAACCTCCTTCTGAGATGATGCAAAGCTTTCTAAAGAAAATGCACACTGAGTTAGCAGGCAATAGATGGGATCTGCTCAGTAGGCAAGCCCCTGACTGGGTCCAAGCCACAGAGAAGAAGTGAAGGAAGCATGCTCCTAGACAGGTGCAGGACAACAAAGTGGTACTTACCAAACAAGGTGTTGGCAAAGCCATACCACACGCAGCCGGCTGGCCCTATGAGCCATCTTCCCTGAGTGCTGGCCGCAAAGCTGAAAGGGGTACCCACAATGCACACCATCAGGTCACTCACTGAAATGTTCATCAGCAGCAAGTTAATCGGAGACCGCAGCACTTTGTTTCGGCAGAAAAGTACCAGGACCAGGAGATTATTTAGGAAACCCAGAATCCCAATGATGCCAAGGCAGATGGCTGTGACTAGGTGGCCAGTGGGACTCAGATGATGCTCTTGGCCATATCTGTGGTTGTTGCTGCCGCCGCCGTTACTGCTGCACCAGACACTGTTAACACCACTGCAACTGGAGCTGATGCTCGGCACAGTCATCTCAGTAAGGCTCCTTCCAGATCTCCTTCATCTGCCTGGCTAAGCATTGCAGGACCAGCAGAGGAAAATTCTCTTAAGCAGACACAGATATATACACACACACAAGACCCTTGAAAGAAGATAGAGAAGCCTTCACTGTGTTACATCTTTTTTCTTTCTTTTCTTTCTTTCTCGTAATGTTTTCAAATTCGGTGAACGGTAACATCAATGAGTTAAAATGTACCGGGATTTCTTTCAGCGATGCTCCACCATGTGGCCAAGCGGAGACCGCTTGTTTCTGCTTGCTTCACTCATTGTCTGAGGCACCGTACCGAATCCCCAACGTTAACCGTTGCAACCTGAAAAATAAAATGTAGGTCAGGGAAACATACATACAAGGGACTGGTTCTAATATCGGGGGATGAGCAATATATAATGACAAGGTGAAAGAATGGAGGAGGGGTCTATTTTAAACACACACACCCCGGTGATCAGTAACATGTGTCTGATTGGGAGGCTGACTTCTTTTCCCTTTCAGCACTTCTCAGGTTGTGACAGCTCCTCAGATCACTGAAGTTTCAAGCCAGGCTACAGAATTCTGTAAATGGTTCCATCTGGGGATGAGAAAGGTCCCGGTGCTTTAGGATTTATGTGTCAAATGAAATCTATAGGTCTCCCCGCCCCCTCATAATTCTATAATGACACACACAAAAAGACAGGGAACTTGTGTTCTTATACTTTTGTTTTTAACTTTGGGAAATAGTTTACAATCCTATACAATCCTATACTCTAGGACACTTGATGCACTTCTAAATCAAATTATGCTCCCTGGTAGAAGCAGATAAATACAATGTCTCCAAACACACACACACACACACACACGAGCTTTTAGTTCTTGTTGGTACACTTTTAAATGAACCTCGGACACAATTCTGCTAGAATTAAACATTTCTATTACGTATACCTTGATTTTATTTGGGACTTAGCAGTGCTTTCTATGCCAGAACTGCACAACTTGCAGCTGCAAGAGTTGGCATTTTGTGGGGTTGCAAAAATAAGAAAAGATCATCCCTTCTCTTCTGAATATTTGTTGTTCCTTTTATCCCTCATTCTTCCACTCTGTTGGTGCTGCATTCTGCTTGTAAACACAACCGGGATGGTTCTGGGATGCACATCCAAACATGTGCTCCATTGATATTAATGCAGTTCAGAGGACGGACATCCACATTCACCCGTGTACCCAAATGCAGGTGTTGCTCCCCTAAGCAGGATTACTTTCTGTGGCATGCACAGTGGGATGCACAGTCTTTGCAACAAGGATGGATTCCCACCCCACCCTGCAAAATAATTGAAATACCTGTCCTTTTGCAAATTGCTTTGTACCTAATTTTTAAAATTAGTGAAATTTATTTTGTAATGAAATATATTATGATGGAATCAGTTAACTGGTATGGACAGCTTTTGAGTATGTTCCCAGCACTTTATCTGTATTTTCTTGAAGTTAATAACAGATCTACGAGGTGGACTGGCGTTTTTTAATCCACCACATTCTAGATGGGAATGGAGCATTTGACACCCAAATCCATCCAGTGAATTTACAGAGGCAAGATTTAAATTGGAGGCTTCCTAATCCTGACAAAGAAGGTATAATGGTTAACATGTTTGGAATTGGGTTGAGGAGACCTAGGTTCACATCCCCGGTCAGCAGTGACTGCAATCCAGTGCATAATTTCTGAGGAGTAAACTCCACTTAGTTCAGTGGTGCAATTCCACCATCTGCACAGCTTTTAAGAGGTGAAGGAGCCCTGTCCTCTTTTTCACCTACCCACTCTCACACTTTTGCCATTCCATTCCCACTCCTATGAGAGGCAGAAGGGAGCAGCCTCCACTTACTCACCCAGGCTATTTTAGCTGATGGGAACATGCAGAACTGTGTGTTTCCAGTTACATAAGTTGATGGTCACTTGTCAATTCTGTGCACTAGCACAAGCCTGGGGTCTTGATCAACCGAGCAATAAATCCCCATAGTTTGCCAAGACCAGGTCTGAATAAAATGAACATAAATCCCACCTTTTGCCTCTCTGGGGCCAAGCATCTTACACCACATAAATAAATCTGCAACAGCCAACGCAGCAACCAATAAACCAGAGCAAGAATCCCATGAAAGCCAGAAGACAACAGACGGTTAATCAGCGGAATAGTCTCAGCTTTTATGTAGCGAGTCAGCAAGAGCAGTGCAAGACAAGCTGTGGATCATCATTTCCAGTTAAAGAGAGGTTGCTAAGCACTCCTCTGTCTCCCAAAGAGTCCCCTTGCAGCCAGCTATCCCTTTCCCCTTCGAAAGGAAAAGGGTTGGGGAGGGGAATCGGGAAAGGAGTGGTGAAATCTGCAGCGAAGTAGGGAAACTCTGTTTGGTATCCTCCACCCTCAAGTTTTCCAAGAAAACTGTGAAAGTACCCAAAGGTGTTTTCCCCCCCACACACAGCATTTCCCTGAAAGCTTAGTGGGTGGTGAGGGGAATGAATGAATTTCAAGTCAAGATTCAGCCCACATGACTAGAGAAGGCAGATCAGACAGAAAGCAGCTTAGGGAATTTAGTTACCCCAAAACCTGATTTTTCAGTGTTTTCGGGTGTCACCAAAAGCTATTCTGAAAAATAGACGTGCTGGATTACTCAGTGGGGTCCCTCTGCATTCTAGATTTAATAACATTCAGTGTTGTTCCTTATCTCCTTTAGATAACACATCATAGGGTAGACTTTTGAAAAACAACACTATAAAAACAAGCCATGGGTGCTCATTTCTATCTTGCTCATTTCCATATAGTTTGATCACTGTTCTTTAAAAAAAGATTAATCCAGACTGCCAGCCCTGGAAAACTCAGCCAATATGGGAGCAGTCTCAATAAATGCATGCATTTCTCAGTGTAGCACTTTTCCCTGTGTAAAGAATACATGTGATAGCAGAGAAACAATAAGGCAAGGGGGCTGTAAAAGGAAATGAACTATGAAGGCTACTAGCCATGATGGCTGTGCTCTGCACTCAGGGTGCACAGAGTTTCTTTAAAGCCACAAAGTCCATCTATGGGCCAATAAATCATGGCATATGCCCCCTATGCTCAGCAGACGGTATCACACTTCTAAAAGATAAAGAAGCTATTGCACGGTGCTGGAAAGAACATCTCCTTAACCGCAACTCCCCTGTAGCTGCTGAGGTCCGCTCACAAATTCCGCAAAAACAAGTTAGAGATGAGCTTTCAGTATCGATTGAAGTGCAGAGTGTTTGAGGACCGGGACATTCACAAGGAAACCAAAATGCTTGTTTACAAAGCTATTGTACTACCAACCTTACTATATGCTTGTGCAACATGGACCACTTATAAACGCCATCTCCAACTGCTCGAAAGATTCCATCAATGGTGTCTACGAAAAATTTTACACATCACTTGGGAAGACAGGCGAACTAATATCAGTGTACTGGAAGAAGCAAAGATCACCAGTGTTGAAGCAATGAATCTTCAACATCAACTTCGTTGGACCGGTCATGTTGTGTGGATGCCTGATGATTGTCTTCCAAAGCAACTACTCTATTCCAAACTTAAAAATGGAAAGCATAATGCTGGTGGTCAACAAAAGAGGTTTAAAGACTGTCTCAAGGCAAATCTTTAAAAAATGTAGTATAAACACTGACAACTGGGAAACACTGGCCTGCAAGTGCTCCAGCCTTTACCAAAGGTCTCATGGGCTTTGAAGACACTCAAACTCAGGACGCAAGGGAGAAACATGCTAAGAGGAAGGCACGCTTGGCAAATCCACACCATGATCAACTCCCTTCCAGAAACCAATGTCCCCACTGTGGAAGGACGTGTGGATCCAGAATTGGCCTCCACAGTCACTTACAGACTCACTGTTAAAACCATGTTTATGAAAGACAATCTTACTCTGCTACGAGTGATTGCCAAAGAGAAAGAGAGCTTTGCAATGCTTGGATACAATAAAGGAACTGGAGGCCCCTCGACTGTCCTCGGGTCCAGTATTGGACCACTTTGACCGGATATCCCCAGCCGATGTGGACAGACTCCTCCAAGCTGGAAAGCCCACCACCTGCCCTCTGGACCCGTGCCCGTCTTGGCTGATTAGAGCATGTCCAGACGAGGTGCGGGCCCCCCTGGGTGATATCATCAATTTGTCCCTTGGCACCGGGATATTCCCAGGGGAACTGAAGGAGGCAGTGGTGCGTCCGCTCTTAAAGAAAACATCATTAGATCCTTTAGATCTATCCAATTACCGCCCGGTTTCGAATCTTCCATTCCTGGGTAAGGTGATTGAGAGAGCGGTTGCTGAACAGCTTGGTAGGTTTCTGGATGAAACATCGGCTCTCGATCCATTCCAGTCCGGCTTCCGCGCTGGCCATGGGACCGAGACGGCTCTGGTCGCCCTAACAGATGATCTCCGCAGGCAGCTGGATCGAGGCGGGTCGGGGCTGCTGATTCTTCTAGACCTGTCAGCAGCCTTCGACATGGTCGATCACGAACTCCTGGACCACCGCCTTGCCGACGTGGGGATCCAGGGCACAGTCCTTCAATGGCTGTGCTCGTTTCTCTCTGGTCGGGGACAGAGGGTGGCGCTTGGGGGGGAATTGTCATCGCGCCACTCCCTGGTGTGTGGAGTGCCTCAGGGTGCGATTCTCTCCCCGATGCTTTTTAACATCTTTATGCGCCCCCTCGCCCAGCTTGTCCGGAGTTTTGGGCTGGGTTGCCATCAGTATGCCGATGACACCCAACTCTATCTGTTGATGGACGGCCATCCTGACTCGGCCCCAGATACACTGACCAGATGTCTGGAAGCTGTGGCTGGATGGTTTTGTGGGAGCCGGTTGAAGTTAAATCCTTCGAAGACAGAGGTCCTCTGGCTGGGACGGAGCGATTTGGGATTGAGGAGGCAACTCCCATCTCTTGCGGGGGTGCAATTAGTGCCAACATCGTCCGTTAAGAGCTTGGGTGTAATCTTCGATACCTCCCTCTCTATGGAGGCGCAGATTACAGCTATAACAAAGGCGGCATTTTTTCATCTCCGCCAGGCTAGGCAGTTGGCTCCTTATCTCTCTCGCCCTGACCTAGCCACTGTGATCCATGCGACGGTCACCTCCAGACTGGATTATTGTAACTCGCTCTACGTGGGGCTGCCCTTGAGACTGACCCAGAAACTCCAGCGGGTGCAGAATGCCGCGGCGAGACTCCTTACGGGGTCTTCGCTACGAGATCATATCCATCCGGTATTATACCAGCTGCACTGGCTCCCGGTGGAGTACAGGATCAGGTTTAAGGTGCTGGTTTTAACCTTTAAAGCCCTATACGGCCTAGGACCCTCGTACCTACGGGACCGCCTCTCCTGGTATGTCCCACAG